CTACTCACCTCAAGTAAGTTCTACCACAGAACGTCTATAGGAAGGAGAGGAAGTGTTAAAGTATTAAATGTCACAATAATTTGAGCATCTCAGGAAGTGGTTGTCTTGACTGCCCACGTAATCATTTTTTCACAGAATATTTTCCAAAACACTTCAGACACTGAAGCTCTAGTGAGGCCTTGGTAACTGAACCTTTAAAACTGTATTTCAGTTTGACGTCAGTGTCTTTCTTTTTTCCTTTTAACCATCATTTACAAAAAGTAAACAGTTAGAAGGAAAACAACTCATTGTAAAATCATACTTCTTCTTTGGTTTTACTGTATGTATGGAAATGAATTGTATATTTCCTGAGAATGAATTTTAAGTGCATTTCCCATAAAGGGCTCTCAAATATTTTAATATATATTTTTCATGGGTCTGAAGGAAAATGTTGCGTTTTGAATGGATAGCGGTCATGGAATTTGGAATAAAAATGGTTCTATTGTTAGAAAAGGGAACAGAATGTAAGTGATGATATCAGAAATTCCTGTCTCTTGCATCATTAACATTAGATGAGAATATCATATTTAGGCATGATATCGCTAACCAAATGCGTTTAAGTTCAGTGATCCGTTAAAACATTGTTAAATGTTAGCAAATTAATGAGTAATTTGGTATAAGGTACTTTACAGTCTGCAGCAGTTTTTGTCAGTCACAGCAGATACATGTATATTTTTTCTGTTTCACACTAGTATAGCAAAGTACTACATTATGTATTAATCAAAACAGCATTTATTTTTACAAATATTTTATTTAACAATACTTAATAAAATCATACAAATAGTAGCTATAAAGAAGGGTAAATGTTTTAAATGTTAACATAAATAATCTACATTTAATTTTCACTGAGTACTTTCTTACATCATACACTTGTTTTACACAACATATTTACAGCATTGCCCAGGGACTGGGAAGAAATGTGTACAGTATTCTCCGTTGGGTACACTAACACAAAATGTAACTTCTTCAGTGTCCTACTTGACAAGTTAAATTGAAGCAACACTTCAATTGAGGTGATTAGGCAAAGCCATGAGCAGCACACATCAAGAGCATTCTTGATGCCCCAGGTTTGTTTGTCCACAGTATGGGGCACAGAAAGGAGAGATTCCGTTTTGTCACAGAAAACGGTTCCGTGCAATCAGAGAAGGGATTCAGATGGCAACATAAAGCAGACAAGTGGGAAAAAAAATAGGTGTTGGAAATAACAAGATAAGAGATGAAGCAGGTCTTTGAGGATATTTACATTCTTTAAGTATAACAATATACAGTAGGAAGAATCTGTTCTGGAGACAGTTAGGACACAGAGGGAGGGATCTCTACTGTTTCTGGATGACTTTCACTTCCCACATCATCTTTGCTATTGTCCGAGCTTTCTGAAGTTATGTAGCAACCAGAATCTCTGGGACATTCGTTCGGATGATCCTGATCCACCTTGAGACAATTGGACTGGGAGTGAGAGGCCTGGAGATCTCTGCTCTCCTGCTCATTTTCACCTACAAAATAAGAATCAATCAGTCGTGCACAGAAGCTGACACTGCCGAGGCTAGAACTACAGTAATGTGCCCGACTCCACTCTTCACCAGTGGTTCTCATATTATTAAACATGATGATTTTTATATACAGTGCATTCTAACAGTTCAGTTACAGTAATAGTTCCATGTTCGATGAAAGCAATTTTTTAAACTGAAAATAACTAAATGCATCAATATTTCATTCATTCAGTTTTTCATTCTGGAAATTGAAAGTTTGTTTTTTTCTCTTTGTTATTGAGTAACTTTAACTTAGTTTTCTCAATTTCACAAAGTAGATTTGGTTGATGGCTTTTGCCTAGAAGAGGTGGTTATCTCTTTCTGATGCTGGTAATTCAAGTCACTTAAGTTGCCCCATTTGCCCAGAGGAAACACTCAACAAAGAGCTTCTTTAGATGTACAGTATACAGCCCAGCTAAGGCTTAGGATTCGATAACAAATTGATCAGATGACTGTAGCCTAATATAAAACACTTTACATCCATGGAAGTTCTACAAAAATATCTAGAACTAGTTGAAATGTGAGAATTGGGTGACATTACAGTGACACAAAAAAGCAAAAAATATTCTCAGAAATTTAATTGACTTGAGGAAGTTGCCTAATTGGAGAATAATAGTACTAGAAAAGCACACTACATCCACAAATAAAACTGAAAAGAGAATCAGAAATACTGTAGATCGTAGAAAGAAAGAAACGGTTCCTGCTTAGTGATTTGTGTTTCACTTTTCTCTTGTAAATCTATTCTGCATAGCAATATGGCAACCAATATACAAGACATATCTTGTCTTGGATAAACTGGTGTGTTTTCACGTCATTATTTACTTTCTGTTCTTGTCTTATTCAGTCAATGGTATTACAGTATAAGCACGTAAATGGTCATTTTAACTTTTTGATGACGTTGAATTCACAACTAATAAGCGGTGAGAGCTATACCAGTAAACCTCACAGTAGTTAAAAAAATAGTGCTGCTCATACTAATTAGAATGTAATTTTCATACTGTGTTACAGAATAAAAAATGCAAGATACATATCTACTGTATGTCTATATATACCTTCTATCCTGGAAATGACCTCATTTGATGTATCATTTGAAATTCAGATACCAAATGTTTCCTGTGCGAAGGACAGAATATGATATTTAGATCTGTTATCCCTTACTCTACCAGGTTATTATCACCTCATGTTAAAACCACAATGTACTGAAGAAGAAACAAACATTTCCTCTTTCATCAGCAAGAGGTGCAGTCTCAGATTTTCTTTCAGATTATTTTATTCAACAAATGAAGTTAGAATTGTAGAGGACACATCCTTTACTCTGATTTTTTTTAATGTTGGACCAAGAATGTTGAATTTTACTTTGTGCTGTTCTTCCCTAACAATAAATATAATAATCAATAGAAAATTAATACACACCATAATTACTGTAGTTGCTGTAGTTGCTTGCTTTGCTCATCATTAACCAAAAATCAGAGTTCCTGGCAGATGTTCTGCTCTAACTAACCAAACTGACTTTACTGGAAATCTTTTTACTCACTTTCCAGGTCAAGGAGAAACTCAGTGGCAGCCAGCAGCCTGGCCCTGTGCTCTGGGTCAGACACATTCAGCTCTACCAGGTGATTTTCCTTTAAATCTTTGAGGTCTTCCACTGTCTCATAGCCATTGAGCAGCAAAGACGAAGCATACTCCTGTTAAGAAATACAGTCTTACAGTCCGAACATCCTTTTTGCAAAGGAAAAGATACATTTCACTTAACTAATTTGAAAAAGGTTTATGTTTAAGAACCTACTTGGGTATGTTGAACTGTACAGTAAAGTTAGGAACAAAAAAAGTGCCTGACTTTAAGTTAATGGGGATCCATCAGTGGAGACTGAGAAACTTCAGTTCAAACGCTTTTCAAATGCTCTGCCAACGTTAACGTATTATGAATGTGGAGAAAGTGTAAGGACAGGGAGAATGCTTCTTGCACAGAGCCAAGTACGCACATTGTGATGAAATATTGACATCACTCGGTAACATGGTCTTTTCACTTTTATCACAGTCTGCCATGTGTTTGAGCAATCAGAATCTGACTTCATCTCCACCAAGCTAGGAAAGTACCACGCGTGTGTCTCACTGAACCGGAACGCCTGGTGTTTTTAGTTCGTGTAGAGACAGCAGGGGGTCTGTGCCGAGAAGACATTGCTCACCTCCAAGTTGATGCGCTCCAGAAGTTCCTGCAGGGTTCTGGGTCTGGGGCGCTTGCTTCTGCGGTGAGGTCTTATCTTTCGGGGCTCCACCTCTACGTCAATCAGGACGTCAACATAGATGAATTTGAAGTTGCCCACTTTGTTGTTCAACATGCCTGTCCATATTCCCATGGGTGGCTTGCTGATAACGTCAATAATGTCTCCTGCCTGTGAGGAGCGAGACAGAGAGGTCAGCTGGGAGTCTGTAGGGATATGAGAGTGGTGGCAAAGCTGGCAAAGTTGGTTTTCAATTAGAGGGTTTAAATTGAAAGGCCTTTGGTATCTTTTGGGGCTTCAGTTTTCCTTAGTTGTTAGAATCTGAGAACAAATCTTAAATTTACAAACATAGATAAGCATATATACACAATTTTGTAGTCTTCCAAGAAAAGGGAGATCTTGTTTAGTCCCAGGAACAGGGAATTGTGTTTACCAGTAAATTACAGGACTCAAAGAAACATGTTAAATACACACAAGTCTGGGATGGAATTGCGAAGAATTAAAAAAAAATGGTGCGGTATGTCCGAGCCCTATTACCTTAAGTTTGAGGGAGTCTGTGTCATATGGGCTGGGGATGAAGTCTGTGTGCACTCTGGCTCTCCCACAGAAGGGCCCTGTGTATGGGATTTCTTCTTCCAGTCTTAAACTGTCTCTGTTACTTGACCCATCTGAACCACTGGTGACTCCGCCTGCATGACAGCAATGCACTTTCAAACATGGACTCGCACCCTACCCTTCCTCGGGCAAGGTTTTCAGCAGCTTGTTTCAGCGTCATTCCTATGGCATTGAGTACTTTAAATATTGAGTAAAATATCTGAAGTGGACACTCCAGGCTCTTCTTAAAAGTTAGTTGAAACTGCTTTGTTTTGTTTTATTGTTTGGCTAAAGGATTACATAAAACCAAATAATGTACAACACAATCCACAATCACAAATGAATCTGTCCATTTAAAGTAAACTAAAACTTCAGCTGTCAGACTGCAGTCCCAGCCCCTGGCTGGTTTCAAGCCAGGGGAGCTGCTGGCCAGTGGGTGGAATAAGAGGATCACTCACTGGAGGAGCTCTGCCCACTCTTGAGACTATAGAGGCTCTCTGCAGAGCCATTGGTGGTCCCTGGGCCTTTCTCCATGGGATGACTCGTCTCAGCATTGCCTTCATGCTCTCTGTCTGCTCCGTCACCCTGAAAGCACAGAGCCATTGTCATTCTCCAGCCAGCCATCTGCAGACCTGCAGACCACACCACACAACTCAAATACATTTCAAGAGTTTTCTAAAATATCTTGATATTACAATGCAAGTTTTCTAAAATTATTTAAACATTAGCTGGCAGTTGGTAAAGTACAGTAGTAAATATATTTTAATTATATTGTTTTTTTCTAAATTAAACCACAGTGCATTTGTTTTTTCAACAGGCAGGTTATTTACAGCTCTTTTTAACATTACCTGCTGAGAAATGAGCCTGCTTTGAAATTAATTAAATGCCTAGAAAAACGTTATGGCCTCCAAATTTGTTTTACAAGGGACAGCACTCTGTCTTTAATTCAACCATCCTGAAGTCTATATGATGATAGTGAAATGATGTTACAGGTTCAGTACTGGGAAAAGAAATTGAATAAGGCCACAATACTATTGAAAAGAGGAATTTGCAGACAATGGGCTTGTACTATAAGCTTAATTCAAGTTCATTTTATGAGCTGCAATTAAAACATTTCCTAACAGAAATTACAGGGAAGCAGAATTTAAAGCATATGCAATGGCAGTGTTTACTGTGTGCTGAACCATGTTTTTATCTCAGTTCAACCAGGACATGGAATGTCTGGGCAACAAAGTCTTTAATCCCTAAGAGTTTTGAAACAGATGCAAAGAAGGGGTTTTCTTTCTGTCTGTATTTACTTTTTGATTCTGTTAATCGCAGGTACTTTCTATAAAAAAAATAGAAAAACCAAGCTATTTACTTTCAACACAGGATGTGGAACTAGATGAAAGAACCTTAACCACCACATTCTCAAGTGCTCTGAATGGCCACCTAATTGTGTGTGTTCCTTTGCAAGAAGAACAGCCGTTTACATCTGAACATCTAGAACATGCGATCTGTGCTTAACTGACACTGCCGTTAGGTTGTGAAGACATCGCAAATCACTGCATGAAATGAACAAAGATGGTACATTCATAAGTTGTGATGCTCTTTTTTTTCACTAGGGTTCGAAACAATCTTTTACGATGAAGAGAGATTGAAATTATTTCTCATGGTTGTCTGGACCCCAATTTTCCTATTGGTTTAGCTCCTAAAGGCATTAAAGCAGCAACCACGCATCTTTTCATAGACCAGCTTGGCTTTTCTCCCTTGCTTTGGAGTCTGAAGGGCCTGGCCCATGCGAGAGGCCTGGAAGGCTGTCACTTGCTTGGATGACTTACCATCTCCTCTGAGAGGGCTTTGACATACTTCTTCCCCATCTTCTTGCGCATGGTCATCGAAATGGCCCTCATCTTCTTTCCCAGGCTTCCCGTCCTGTTCTGATTCTGGTCACAGCTCTCCGCTGCCGCTTCTCCCTCTGTAGGCTGCACGCACACACGCACACACACACACACAGCGTGGTCAGTCGCTCAGCTGCTCTACTCTACTGTGTGGGACCCTTTACGCCCACATCTGGTGTTTAATGAAGTGGTCCTTCACCACCGAGGCCATACTACAATAACCTTAAGGGTGCTATAGAGAAGAGTAACATTTTTATAGAAAAATACAGGTCATTTCTAGATTATTTTCTCAAGGTTGATCGCTCCATTAACCAGCACAGTAACCAGGTGCACAATGGAGGTGCCTGAAAATACCCATTTTACTCTTATATTGACCTTTTGCAACTTCTAGATTTTTTTCTCACGTGACAGTGCCCTCTACCCCATTGTCTGTTCTATTTCTACTATCAATGATACTAAAAAAAGATCAGTCTGGATCATGTGGCGGCCCACTGGAGGAAACAGCTTAAGGTAATGGTTGGTAAGCTCCTCACATGACTTCGTGCCCCTTTGACACTGAATTTTACAGAGCCGAGAATAGTCCTGCCCACAGAATGGTGGAAACTGTGCTTAAACATGTGCAGAGCATATAATGCTAATGTATGTCTTTTAAATTCAATGAATACAGTTACTTATAGTCTCAGAGGAGAAGTGGTCAGACCTCTGAAATGTCAATTTACCTTGACCTAACTCAAGGTGCCTCTGTATGTGTGGATTTTACTGAAACAATAGATCTTTTATTTAAGTCCCAGAACTGTATTTGACAATTTTGTTCCTGACATGGTGCTTTAAATAAAATGCATTTAATAAATAACAGTAAATGTGTTTAATTGAGGAATTATCTTAAAAAAAAACCAGAAGAACCACTTTCTGTTATATTTATCTGGTCTCCAATCACCAGTGGTGTTTTTTTTCTCATCTCGGATGTGGTTACGATCCCTGTGATCTCACAGAGCCGAGAAAGAGGAAGCTCAGGCAGAGTCCTCTGACATGCCCACCTTTAAGCCATTCGTCTTTCAAGGCGTCCCAGTAGCACCGTCCCATACCAGAGCTCCAGTGCTGATTGGAGGAGAAGTGTGTCACTCACAGGCAGGGTCACTGTACCACTGAGAGCACTAGCCCACTAATCCCAGCCTACCCTCAGTTTGGGGCACAACCTTTGTCCCAACCTTTGTCCTGGTGGCCCACGCACCTGCTGGCTTTCACTTAATCCAATCTTCATTAGATAAGCCTTACATGATCTAAGAAGTTGCTTCAACTGAATATTAGCAATTTGTTTAAGATGACAAGTTTGGGATTTTTTTTTCACTTTCACAAAATACAGTGGTTAAAGCTCCAACATGTTTAAGAGCTGGGAACACACAGTTCAAATCAATCTTGCTATTATTAAGTCAATGAAGGCTTTGATTGTGTAACTGAGGGCTTAACTGGAACAAAAACCAAACCAGCAGCTGTGTGGGTCACCAGGACTGGGAACCTCTGGGTTAGGGGGATCACAGTCTCATAGTGACATGACCAGGTTCAAGCCCGTGACGCCTGCTTCATAATGACCGGACGAGCGCCTGTGTAGGGAGGGAGGGAGGGAGGACCATATGCAAAAAATAGCAATTCCTTGACTTACTTCAGTCTCTGCATTCTCCTCTGGCTTGACAGGGGACGACTGGTGTCTGAAGGCATCGAATCTGCCAAAGCTGCTTGATCGCTGTGCAGAGAAGAGAGGTGCAGATTAGGCAGCGAGTTTTTCACAGCGACAGACAGATCATTACGATCAATAGGAAATAAATGTCTGTCATGTTAAAATGAGCACACATGTTGTAGTGACTGTTACATCATATGTGCATTCAACAACCGTTTTAACACATTTTCCTAAAATATCTCAACAAACACCCATTTTGTTCTTCTGGAGTCTCTGCTAAGGACAGGATGGTGCCTACGTTTTTCTTCTGTTTATGTCCTGCTTTAGGCAGTGTAGTGGTCAGTGCTGTGGCATCACAGCTCTTGGTTCTGGGAATGATTCCTGGCCTTTAACACACGACCATGGTCGTGGAGGAACACTCTGTTTTTTTACTCCAAATGAGCTCTTAAATCACAGGCTGATTGATTTCAGTTTTCTGTCTGGGGGCATATTTGTCAATTTGCTTTCAGCTCTTAAAAGGTGAAAGTTGGATTTGCAACCACTGTATCAGTTTCTGAGTTTCAGAACTGCCTCCATTCCTTTGTGTTGCCTGGAATGTAACCAGCTGGATCTCTTTAGAAGGAAAAAAACTCATTGTATGTGATACATTGTCATTCCCATTTCTGTCTTTGCATCAGAAACTGATCAACTAGTTAGGAGATGTTTAGTTAGAAATAAAAATCAGCAAGCTGTGGAGAGTGTGTTCTGTGTGCTGAAGTTTTTGCAAACATTACCATGGAAGTTGGGTATTTTTGATACTCAAGAAGGACTGAATAAACAAGCTAAATGAAAGTGTAAACAGATTGAGCAAGCAGGTGAACAAAGTCATCAAGACGAGAGTTAGGAAGCACTGCTGTACTCGACAGATAATCTTTCCGGAGAAAAGTCTCATTTTGAACTCTGTCATTCTGGAATGAGCTCTAAGTAGCCAAGAACCTTAAGGGATGAGTGGATAAATTATTTGCCAAAAATGTTAATACTGTACATTGGTTAATTGATGAAGTTAAAGAAATGAAAAATTGACATTTATACATGCAAAGCAGTTTGTACTTTGAAAAATAATTAAACTGACTAAATTACAGCTGTTCATGCAGCAACTGAAATAATATTTTTTTTCAATTGTATACTGCCAAGGCAGACTGGAAGGTAGCAAAGAAGCTCTCCTGGCCTTAAAAGTTTACTCATAGCAGAATGTATGCAGTTTCAGTAGTGAAAAAATAATACAGTATATCCAGAGACTGACACATTGCCTCTAAATTAATTAGTATAAACCAAGGACAGAATGACTTTGCAAAGGTGGGAGTAAAGCTGAGCGCCCAGGGACAATCCATGCAAACTCAAGACGATGCATACAGAGAGAGACCCTGTCCACAATCAGGCCCGGGACTCAAAGGCCATAAGGCGGCAGTGTTAACAGCCCATCCAGTATGACATACACTTCTCATTGCATGCACTGATAATCCGGTTTCAAATATCATACTCCATTGTTGGGGAAAAACTGGGTTGTAACACAAAAGTGAGGCCTTTCCATTCTGCTTGCTGTACTTAACTTGCTATTTAGACAGACCTTGTTGATTCCATTTAAAAAGCAGAACACCTAAATTTTCACCTTGTTATATTCCAGTGAGATTTCGTGTCCTTGATCAAGAAAACAGTTCTGAACAAGCCCTTAGTTCGGCGTGGGAGTGCAGAAGGAGTACTGGGGCGCAACAGTAGTAAAAGCCAGCAGAGCACAATCTAGCCTTTCTTTCCTCCCATTTTCTCTGTGACTCTACATCCATCATTTCTATGGAGTGGTCATGTGAGGGGCTTCATGGGCACATGGCTGACACACAGGAGTTACACTGCCTTCTGTCATTTGTTTCGACTTCTCAAATTATTGCTGCCGTAGTAACAGTTTGATTACAGCTGTATGACACATGCCAGAAGCTGTTTTTAATTTACAGACGAAACATTTCTGTACGATTTTAATATATTCAACTACGCCAATTGGTAACACTTTTTTAAATGTAAGGAAATTTGATAAAATCCAATAATACTAATTCTTTCAGAGCCTGTTTGATTTTATTTCTTAGATTTTGAATGTGAAATGGAAACTTCATGGAACAAAAAAAAATTAGTTTCACTGTGTTTTAGTAAATTAGCTGTTAACAGGGCATGGATATTTGAAAATGAAAATAACCTTCCTTTAACTTTTCAAATCAAAGTCAATCAATACATAAATGCACAACATTTATACATTTTAAATGAATCTGTTGAAGACCACAATTATAAATTTTCACACTGTAGAATTTTTTTTTTAAACTGATCATAGCCTAAATGAATAAGTATCATGACTCCTCAATGTCGAAAGCTCAGATGACCTAACAATCTTGCACAAGCAGTTTTTATTGATGAAATACCTCTTCTGCGTGACTCTTTTGTGTTAAACTAAGAGACAGTTTTAAACTCAACATGCATTACAAACACTTGCAAATTATAAAGCCTTCCAGAGTCCGTTTTCAGAAAAGAATATTTGTGTGCATACAAAAATAACGGACAGTTACAGATTACTACATATATATTCTGACATTCAGATCACATATTATATGTTAAAATTATATTTTAGACTCTTACCTTTGGTTTTTGTACTTTTGGTTTGTCTGAAACATTAGAAGACTTCCTTTGCAGCATTGTCCTGTCTTTCTTTATCTATTTATATTCGAATAGTCCTCAAAAAGGAGAAAAACTTGTAAGCATCTGGGCCAGATCTGCTCATCTGTGTGGGGAGTGAGCAACACAGCTCAGTAGTTCAGCACATCACTTCCTCATTGCAAGCAAGCAGGATATGAGCACATTGGCAGTATATCGGCTTCTGATGAAAAGCACTGAGTGTGTCAATCTCACAGGAAAAGACCGGGGAATAGCATGGCCATAACTACCGAGGCCACAGCAACAGGTTATTATTTACAGCTACAGTAAAGCTTCTTTTGAACCTTTAAAATTCTTTGCTCATCCCCCCCAACTTAAACCCCTTCAATTCACAGCACCCAAATACAAGTTTTTTTCATTCTGTTTTTATAAGAGAACATTGTGAACATGTGTGTAATTTAACTTAAATGTTATATTTTGCCACAATCCTGTGGATGTCAAAAAAGTTGTGTTTTCACAAGTGCAGCTGAATTTCAGCTCAAATGAACAGAGCCAACAGTTCCAGCTGTGGGGCTGGAGGGGGTAAGAGTGTGCCTGATACAGGTCAACTGTCATTGAGAAATGTCAGCCAGTTAAATATTATTATACAAAATGTATTACTAATAGGGAAATTCCATAGTCTTTTGTTTGTAAAGTCTCAGTAGAGTAATGTCTCTTTACAAAGAAAAAGTAGCACTACTGTCAAGACAAAACAGATTACTTTACTCAGATGCTGTGTAACCTTGTCGTAACCCTGTAGCTCCTGAATGGACAGACTTTTTTGTTGTTTGTAAGAATCTTAGTAAAATATCAGCAGGGGAATATGGGGATAAAATTGTCGTGTCAATGACTATGCTAAACTTTTGTTAACAGAACATAAAGAAAACTGCATCATGAATTTCTCAAGACATAGTCATTCATTGTGAAAATGGTTAGAGAAAATTTCCAAAGCTGATGTTACTGAAAAAGATCGTCAGCTGTGATGTAAGAGGAGGAGAATGGTCTGTCCCAGTGCTTTTTATTTTTTTCCTTTGTTACCTCTATGCATTGAGTGCTTTCAGGAAGTCCTGTCTCCTAAAAATGTACAGAGGAGGAACTGCATGTGGTGAAACCGTAATGTTCTCCTCTCTTTACAGTAAATGGTGTTGGGTAACTCTCTGAAGGCTGCAAATACTGTTTTCTCAGCTTTTTCTTTACTATCACTCACAAAATGTTTATTCCCCATTTCTCTTTTCAGTTTCACTTTAGTTGCATCAACAGACAATTCTTAGATAATGAACTTCTTCTGTGTAGAGGGATAACTTTATTGTGTTTATGTCCGGACTCGCGGGTGTCTAATGAAAACTTTGCCTTTGTGGTGTGAATAATTATATTTTTATAAAAATGCATCATTATAAAAGCAATAAATCATCAAAATCTCAATCATGTATTAGTTGTAATAATGTATTCAGTGAAAGCCGCTAGGTCTAGGTTTGAACCTAGAAAGTTATTTAACATTTTCAAGTTCCTCTTCAGCTGAATTTCCTCTTATTCAGACTTTGTCTGCTGGCTCATATAACTTGTTCACAGTTGGCACTAAAGATGAGCCAACTATTGCTTGTATGGCGAAGTGCGATTGCCTTGGCAACCCCATTCAGGATAACAGAGCCGGGTAGCCGGTCTGCCTGCAGGACTGCCAAGCCCTCACAGTAGCTCTTTCTAAGGCCAAGATGTAACAGGATGAATGGAGCTTTGCTGAGGGGGCAGAATGAACATTAATTAATTAAGGAAAAACATTAATTAATGTTAACAGAGAAATATATGTAATAATAACCATCCTCTAGTTTAAATGAATTACACGGAGAAACAGAACCCAAAACTTGATCATAGTCTGAATCATACTGCTAACCTTATATTTATTTGCAGAAGACAGCGATAAGATTTTGTAGAGATTGTGGGTTTCATCTAAACTTCTCTCTCTTCAAGTTAAAGAAAGAGGACAGGCACATGTTGTGTGGTATTTCTTGCTGACTAGAAAGGGTCTGTGGTATTCTAAAACAGTCAGACATGAGAATATACATTCTGTGTTGGTGTTAAAAATATTCATGCACCATGTACATTCTCTTACCTTCTGTTTGTAAATATGTTCATGCTAAGTGTGTCCCTATTTATGGTAAGAACAAGAGACTGTTGATGCAGTGTCTAAGGGGATAAAAGCATGTAGAAATGCCCTGTGATTTACACTTGATCTCTGAGTGAACTATGGTGTTTTTCTGCACATCTCTTCCGAAAGCATTTTGTAAATAAACATATCAAAACCATGCTGAATGCCACTAGAACACCTTGCATTCATACAGTTATTAGCAATTAATATGAAACATTATTAATTATAGATAGATAATCATGTATATAGATTGTTGTAAAAGTTGTTTCCAAATCATTTCCAATTATCAGACTATTATCTGATTTAAAATCTCAAATAGGCTGAATTACCTTAAATGTTTCAACAGGAAGCAGCAAGTAGTGAACAGGCTTGGGGGATTCCTATCATAAGCTGTAAATGTGTGATTGATGTCAGCCATGCAAATATATAACTGACACACAGACAGTTTGTCAAGCTATTACAGAGCGGTTGCTTGGTAAATAATTCACTAAAGCAGTGACTTACTCTTTAAATAACTCTGTGAAAATGGCCTATTTTGGGAAACCATAGTAGGCAGTTGCATTACTTACATGCTACAGGTACATCATTAAGTCAAGGTGAATTTAGAGAACATACTGTACAGCTACATTCAGCATGGTAACAGGCAGATTGTGGAGCCAGGCAAAAATCCTAGAGATTAATGAGATGGTCAAACATTTTGTAGTTTCAACAATTAACTTGTTATGGAATCGATTCTGTGTTCAAGACTAATGTGGTTTCTGTTTGAACAGTTGGAATTTACAATTTGTCAGACATACTCCAGAAATGTTTTGTTCTGCCCTATTTGTTTGAATGTAGTTTCTATTGTATTTGAACAGAACATTGAGAAGAAAGTTTATATAGTAATATATCATTTATCTATAATATATATATATGATTTAAATTGATTTTACTTTGATTAAATCATGATTTGGATGAAATATCTGCATTTAAGAGTGTGGTACTTCTAGTAATTCTGAAAAATTGTATAAACAAGGATGACACATCTTCAATTTAGTTATTTTTTGAAAATTTTTTTGTTCCAACTAGCTTCTCTCTGTTTTGAAATCCACCTACAGGAATAGTCTCCTGGTTCTCAGGGAAGAGGCTGGGTTTCTACCAATGGCCTCCATGAGGTTGGGGGTCAGATCTGTTGAATATGCTGGAGAAAAACATCCCAGAGTAAACACTACACAAAATTATTTAGCCTAATCCAGCTGTGTTTAATCAGGCAGGCCAAAATCTGAATCCAGGATTACGGTTTATAATCCATTTCTGTAAACCCTAAGCCTTGGAAAACAAGCAGCCGTCACACTCGGAGACTGCCAGCTGGAAAATGAAAAACTCTGGATTATTTTTCTCATTTGGGATAGCGTCCATCCTGTCCAAGATTTTTACATGAACGGCTACTTTACAGCCTTCTAAGAGCCACTCTTGAAAGGCTCAGGTCTGAGAGGCTGTGACAGTGACCCACATCTTTGGCAGAGGCTGAGGTGAGCATGAGACTGGGCCATTCCTCTCTGAGGAGAAAGTGGCATTTTTTCCTTCTGTAACTCGGAGTCCAGTGCTGGTTAATGTTGTCTTCTACTGCCCATCGATTCCAGGTAGTATTTTAAAGTTTGATGGAATGGCCTCTTAAGGAATAATATGATATTATTGATAGAATATGATAATATGATAAAATATTTGCAGCATGGAGGCGTTACCTTCTTGTGACAAAATGTTTGCAGCAGTACCCGTGCGTCCTGAAGGTCGCCCGATCGCTCAAGCCCTGGGCGCCGGCTAGCTTTGCGATTTAATTGGCCGACAGACGGGGTCTTGCAAAGACCCATGGAAGTGGCCAGCCGCTCGCTGCAGGGCGCAGCCGCCAATCGCGGCCCCACCGAGCCCCCACCCCGCCTCGCTCACCTGGGCATCGCGGAGGTCCACGTCGGTGGCCGAGCGGGCGAAGCGAGGCGGCGAGCGGCCGTGTCCGCAGTACTCCAGCCTGTCCCAGTCCTTGGCCCGGGGCAGCGTGAAGTCCAGCCCGTACAGCCGGTGATCCGGCAGGGGCCTGTGGCAGGTGTGGTAGGCGCGGTCCCAGGGAGGGGGGCGCTCACCCGGGCCGCCCCAGTGGGAGCGGCCAGGCCACTGTGCGGAGCCCCAGGACTGGTCCGTGCTGGAGCCACTCTGCTGGACTGGCTGCTGGACCTCCTTGCTGGGCTTCCTCTCTGGGTTTCGGGGAAGTTTGATGCAGGATATGACTGGGCTGTCATCTAAAAGCACCATGTCCTGAACAGGAGCTGGTGAAGGAGAAAGGCGAAGCAGGTCTGTCCCTCGCTCTCTTTCACAAAATTCAGAATGGAGAGGGAACCAAGTCTGGAAACTGTTATTTGCGTTCAACTTTTTATGAACTGCCTGTTCATAAAGTTGTGTTCCTGTTTTTTAATCATTAATATTTCATCAATAGAGCATCAGATAAAATTAAAGGATAAAAAGTTAGGAAAAAAACAATGAAGTGTTCCACCGATATATAAGTGTAAGTGTTATACCAATATTTTAAAAAACATTTTAAAGTAATTAAGCAAAAAAAAGGAAAAATGAAGTCGTTGTCTCTTATCCATGAACATTGGTCTGGAACATTGCAATCGAAAGTTACTGGATGTAGATTTCGGTTTTCTGCGGGACAGCGGGCTTGTGCGATTGGCCCCGTCTGTCAGCAGAGAGCACGGCGCAGCATCGTACCCCCGGCCGTGTCCACGCTCCTGCCCTCCTCTGCGCCGCTCCGGCAGCCCTTCTTCACCCCGACAAGCCTCTGGAGCCTCCGCAGGGTTCCCCTGGACTCGGCGCCCTCGTCCTCCGTCTCTCCCAGCTGGAGAGCGAAAGGGCCGGTTAGTCTCTGGTTACAGACAGAAACGAGGAAACCGTGCGCCTGTTCCCCTGGTTTCACTCTACAGTGGATTCCAGATGGGTATCCTTCACACGCCAAGACCATACATTTTTTAACAGGACAAAAATCTGTTTTTTACAGAGCTGAAGAGTTTTAAAAGACAACCTATTACTGGAAGAGGAGGCTTAGAAATTATTTTTGTACTGTTTTTTTTGACAGACGTCAATGGTATTCAGGTGTCAAATAGCATCACTGTGCCATTTTGCATAGGTGCTAAAGAGCGTTCAGAGCCCTGCAGCTCCGGTCAGGTCTCCCTGAGCCCTCACCCCAGTGCCGACAGATCGAGCTACTTCTCCTCCCCTGGGCAGCGCCAGTGCTGCGTGTCAGGGCTGCTTCTGGACTGGCTGGGCAGATGGTGAGACATGCTCCAGCTTATCCTCTTTGCAAAGGTGAAAGGATGCGGCTGCAGCAGTCTGCCCCCCTGCCCCGACCCCGGATTTAGGGACCATGTGATCAGGGGATTATGAACAGACTGCCGGGCCACACCTCACCATCTGCAATGCATTACTGCACATAATTTGTTAAGTGATTGCTCTAAATTGGATGCTTGATAAGATTTTTTTTTCTTTCGAGCAGCCGTCATAAACCTGTTGTCCTGTGAGAGTAAAATGCTTCAGCAAATAACCAAGAATTGGCAGTAGTCACCTTTTTTGAGGAGCTTGGTCTAGCTTGTCAGAAATACCTTCTGAATTTTCTACCCTTGATTCACCTGGGCGTTCAACACTATAGAGTAGCTTCCATAGGATTTATATAGGCAGATTACTCCCAGCAATCTCTGCAGTTGCTTCTTGCTGATTTGAGTGAGTATGAATTTTTCTCTAGATATTAATGGCATATACTGGGTGGTATTGAATGGGATTAAAGGATAGCTCTTTAAAAGAACCATCTAAGTCATTATTTTAAAACAATTTAATGCACATGACTCCAATCCACAATGATTTAAAAAGGACTGTGTTGCCTGTTGGTTAGAATGTGAGAGACATTCACTCACCATGTCCTGTTGTAGATGTCCAATATCTGACTGTTCCCAGCTTGGAATCCAGGCTTCATAAGTCACTATCTAAGATTACATGACAACCAAGAAACATTGTATAACAGCAAAATCCACGCAGAAGAAAAAAGACACATAAAATGTTTTTTTTAATAACCTTTCACCATAAAGAATGAACACTATAATAATAATACAATACTACTATAAGTGCCATTGTTGCAAACATAAGAAGCTTTCAATGATTATTTTCCACTGTGATTACCGTGTTATCATAATGCTCTTTAATGGGGAACCATTCAATTACACATTAGTTGTTTGTAAAACAGTCCTCAAAGAGTATTTGTTAATGACCCTGTTATTTCCATATTAATGGGGTGCCTGGTTGTACAGTTAAAAACTGCATATCTTACTAGAATAGAAATATTTTTTATTTTATCATAAATTTAATTTTAAGTATAAGGCAGTATTCTGTTCAGAGCAGCACTGCAGTTTTCCCTTTTCAATTTGTTGTACTTCTCTCTAAAGCAGATGTGAGAAAGAGCCTGGGATTATATAGTGAGATACACAGATTAATCTTGATAATATTGTCTGTCTTTGTTAGACAACAACATTCGCAGCTTTCTAATGCTGACACTTGTTTGTGGGAGTCCTTATGGCTCACAGATTAAAATAGCTTCCTTTTCACCTCTAACTAACTTAGAAGAAGCTATGGGATGGAAACAACAGAGCAGGCAATGCTACTAGGAAAAATAAACACATTGTTAATGGCTATGGGCAGATACTGACAATACATGTGTTACCCTGTTTGTTTTGTTATTTTCACATTTGATTAAAAAGTGTGTTTTTTTAATTGCAGCTCTTGCTGAACATGAACATTAGAGTTTTCAGATGTGTATTTTGACCCTGTGGGGACCCGTACCTGGGGAGACGAATCCTTGGTCCACTGGTCTCTCAGCAGGTGTACTCTGTCTCCAGCACTCAGGAAATCTCCCAGTAGGAAGTCTTCCACCATTTCTGAAAAATGATTCAAATCAAGCAACTAAATATTCTTTCTGGAAAGGCAAACGCAGTGTAGATTTTGCTTTAACAACTCTCTGAAGCCATAGCATTTTTCTGTGTGCATTTATGCAATTTATGTACATGCGTATTATCCCATTTTTACAGTATTAATAATGCTATAGTGCTATATGGTTTGTATACCCCAACTGTTCTTTCAAAAATTGGGTGTTAACATTATTTACAGGCAGTAATAACACTAAAGAAGTACTCTACCTGCATCACAACATCTTTGTAAGGAACTGTATGAGCTGTGTCTTAGCTTTTTAATGTTTATTTGCATTGTACTCCTTTACCACAAAGTGCATGTACTAGCACATGCCCTTGATTCTATTTCCATATAGCAGTGTCATTTTCTTATTAAATATTAGTCAACAAGGTACATAGGAAACATTTTCATAAGGAGAGCTGTAACTGAAGAATGTCTTCGATACTGAGAAATACAACTGTGGAAGGAAACTCAAACACACCCCTTCACTTCCTGTAGAGACTCCACTTCCCCGATTGCTCAGGCACAGACTGGTGGCGTAAGCAGCACTCTGATGTCCGTACCTCAGGTAGAGTAGGTCATTCTTTCAGGTCCGGAAGGGAAATGTTTTTAATTTGAACCCACATTTAGTCTTTGAACTTTGATCATTGTTGTATCAATTATTAGAGTGCCCATCAGTTTACATCAAATCTACAAAAATATTCAGTTTTTCTTAATTCTTTAGTTTAAAATACTTGGAAACTAGTAGAAAAGTCCTCCTCAGTGAAATAGCCTCAGGTGGCTGGTTTTGTGCAGCTCTCTGATGCCAGGCCTTATCGCCAGCTTGTCTGTCTCTGTGCGTCAGAACACCAGAGTGCCTTGCTACAGGTCAGTGCCGTTCACTGTGATTAATTACACAGCTGTCCCTTAATCTGACAGATACTAAAAATCCTCTTTTACAAATAAAATTGGTTTCAAACTGTGCTGTAAACAGCAGAGGGATCATAGACTTTTTTTTACCAATTATTTCACATAAAGGCATGAGTTATTATGCTTCTCATTTTCTCCTGAGCTTGTTTTATTGTAATCAATAATCAGATATTGGGTTTCTCTAACTTTCAGGACTTTAAGCTTCTAGTCTCATTGCCAGGGATATTTCCAAAGGGGAGACCTTCTTAATTCAGGGATACTCTATCCTACACGCAGCAGAGAGGAGGATATCTGAACTGGGAGAGTACTTTACATTTACCTTCAGGTTGGTAGGTTTTCACATTGGAAACATCTTCTTTCTTCCTGAAGGATTGCCTGAGCACATTATAGCAGTCCGTGTTATCTGCACAAGGGAAACCAAAAACACGTAGTTTTTAAATCAAGAATGAAAATAAAGGCAGTAGATATGGCATCCTGATAGCTCAGCAACACATGGTTTTCTTATTGTTTTGTAAGATGCTTTGAGTTTTTATTTTCTTTTTACTTTTTATATCATGTCTGTAATTTTTTGGTGAGCACTATGCGAGGATTAAAAACAAAAAAACAGATCCAATCCAATATCCCTGACCTTTTTTTCCTTACCCTGTCCTGGTGCTGTAGTGGTCATCATTGTAAATGAACAATCATTTCATTAAAGTGTTCAGCACAGGGGGCGCTGTAGAGCAGCACCATCACCATTACCTTAGGATTGGGATTGGGCCCTGAGATCCCCAGGCTGGGGAAATGCCTCTTTAACAAGTTAATTTACTTCTTCATTAAATCTATCTCAGAAGCTTGAAGCAGCTGAGATAACACCTTTATTATGAAGAGAATGTATCGTTCTGTGCTTATATACAAAGTAAATAGAAAAATCATCGGTTTGGGACATGGAATGATACCATGTGCTGGTGCGATTTTTTTCCAAATATTTAAGAAATAGTAAGAACAAAGTTAGAATCACACTTTTTCAGTAAACTTTTTTTTTGAGTGAATAGAAGAGTAAAATGCATTAATTTCTCATCCTTTCTAAATGGACACTGTCATAAATAACATTTATTTAGTAGGTAGCTGCATCAGCATGTGTAGGCTGGAAAGGAAAAAGTAAAGGTTAATTCCTGCTGAAAAAAAATTGGAAACAACGTTTCGGCTGTGGAGCTCAGGCTCACACCCGAAAAAGACTCTACAGCTGAAACGCTGTTCTTCCTTTTTTCTCTTTTCAACATATTCATATAATAAAACAAAATGATTGACGTATGTTATATAGTATAATTATATTCTATAAAAAATTAAATAAAATGCCAACCTAGTATTTCATTGTCAGATTCTGATCTTCGTATCGGTGTTCTGCAACAAAAAGAGATATACAAATCATCTCAAGATCACACTTGTGGTTATGCAAACACACAGTCGATAAAATAAATATCCATTAGTGAATAAAACAATATTTAACCAGCTGAAAACCAGGCATTGCATTTCACATTTTGACAAAGTGTACTGCACACACAGCATTGAGACACATTTCTTTCAGGTCTGATCTGTAGAGGATTAAAGGAGTGACATTTCAGACTGGATATTTAAGAGAAAAAATAATTGCACTTTAACCTTAGGTGTGAAGCCAACATCTGATGCGGCTTAAACTGCTTTTTTGGGATCTGTAAGAATGTCTTCTCAGAAAGAGTGGAGAGTTTCTGCCTCTACACGACAGTAGTGAGACCACCCCTCTGGGATATTCCTGGAAGGATCAAAGTGGATCAGCAAGGTTTTGTTAAATACGATGGTACGTATTAGCTCTACTATTATTATTGATATGATTGGAGTATCGACACATCAAAGTAACTCAACAAACTTGCAAAATGGTTGCTCTCCACCCTTGTGTACCCTGTCAACCCCTTTACCTCTTCATGTGCCTTACGTGAATCCTGCAAGTTCACAAAGTAGACCTAATCCGGCCGTGAAGCAGGGCAACGTTCTCGCGTGAACTGAGCATGGCTTCTGCCATTGTGGATAAGAGTGTTAAAAACAGTCATGGTGGGAGTGTCTTAACGGGTTTCTGATAAGAGGATTACTTGTAAAAGCCATTCTGGTTTAAACTGGCCACTTGCAGCACTTATTTTACTCCTCCGTGTGTTCGAAAGACCATGTGACGATTCATTCTTGGTGTTATAGGACTGTGCTTAGACAATTTCAGCACCACATTTATAAAAATCTCAAGGACATTTCATACTTTCACTCATTGATTTTTCTAATGTTTTGAATCTTCAGACCCTTGATGGCATATACACTGTAGTCTCCACCACTGTAGATCCACAACAGTGACAATTTCCTTGGTCTGAAATATTGGGATAACACGGTAACTTTTGTATCCTTAGCTATAGCTTTAGTTGTTCTGATGCTGTGGGAGGTAAATGATTTATCGGCAATACTTAATTTCACCATGTTACAATGGTGTTATGTAATATTGTCACCACAGTTTGCCAATACTTTGTATTGTTTCATTGGAATTACAGCTGCAACAACACCGCTCTGTGATTCAGCAGGGACTCCAGCCTGCCTTGTGACATTAAAGGTCACGAGGTCACAAGGACTGCTCAACTCTGCAGGTGCAACATGCTCTCTCAGCACCCATGGGAGTTTCGGGATGCAGATTAATTTGCATGAGGAACTGAAGAAGTCGTATCTGGTGCACAAGGAATGGCTAGAGACTGAGGGTCATAACCATAAGAACACATATGAGCCAAAACATTTGCTGATCCAGAACTCTGAAAAGGGTTTTGTCTATTTTCCTTGTGAATTTCAGTTGTCTGCTGCTTTTTCTCCAGGGGAATCTAAGTGGTCATAGATAGGGCAGAGTCAAAGGTATATGATTAAGTTAGAATAACATATTTATCATAGGTGAATGTTCAGTGTGTCCAGATTCTGGGCCAAGGGTCACTCTCAGCTGCAGTGCTCAGCGCGTGTACCAGCATCAGCTGTTTCACTGTGACTCATCCCTTCCACTTGAAGAACACTTTTGCACGCATGAGGGTCTCGGGAGAAAGTGAGACTTTATATGTTTACTGGTTTCTTTGTCTTCTGACTATTCAAACTAAAGACGAGTTGGAAATAACCCTAAACCCCAGACGACGTAAAAAAATAATCAAATAGTAACCAGAGTGTATACTGTTCACAGAAACACAAGGGAGATGGGAAATGCAGTCGGCCTGTTTGACTGACTGGAAAGAAAACATTATTTTTGTGTATTTGACTTCATCCTTGGAGTGCAGCAGACACCGGTGGTAAACAGCAAGCTATTAGAGATGTCCGCTCACTGTTGTCAGTTAAGAAAGTGTATAGCTGGTGTTTTCAAAATTACCTTGGCAATGAGGGGCTGGTATATATAGACAGCTGGTTGAAGGCTTAGAAGGTGAAAGTCACACTGGGAAGCACTAATGCAAGCATTTTAAGAGCTTCTGCTTAAGGCATTATCTCTCGTTAGAGGTTAGTGTGCCTTAGCATCCGTATCATAGAGGTTCATTTACACTTTCTCGCTGGTTAACTGGTTTACTGTACTCCCTTTGCAAAGACAAATAGTTATATTTAAGATATCTGCATGAGAATAAAGCAACATCTGTTAAAAAAGCACAATATCAGTAACTTACTTTCTTTTCTTCTTTTTAAAATCATGAGAATGGGATTGCGAAAGCTCCTGAAATATAAAAAGAATTATTTGTAACTTCAAAAATCTATGAGCATGTTCGATTTAATGTGGTAGATACAGGGGAGATTTACAGTATTAATCCTTGAAGATGTGTCGGAAATCAATGCCCGTAGGATAATTCTCCACACACATTTTTTAAAATTTGCTAACACCTTTCATTTCAAGCTTGCATGTTAAAATTTTACCAAATAATTTATACATATTTCTAATATACGTTGTTATTAAAAAAAAACACTTTTCTGACTTGAGTAGTTGAAATGTGCATTGAACAAAAATTGAGAGAGGCCAGTTTTTAAAGCAGTGTGCAGTATATACTACAATTCCTCTGGGGAACACTGTTCAGCACAGGGTTTATGTAACGATGTGAATTCCTCATCTTCCAATCATTACCTCTTACCACAGGGAAGCTGTAGGAGCCTCCAAGATTCCTGTCATAAGACTAATCAGTTCACAGCACTTATCAGGGGCTTCACTCTGTGTCCATGCTCATCCCTTGGCAAGGTCACAGTCATGCCTCTATCCCCTAGTAGGTTGCCCTGACCAACTAATTTATTAATAGTTTGAGTAGTCATATTTCTTGGCACTGAAACTTTTGTTGAAAAAAAAACAACTCAAAAAGCTACATATAATATTATTATTATTATATTATTATTATTAATAATAATAATTGCTTACACTTATATAGCATTTTTCTAGAAACTCCACTCAAAGCGCTTTACAGGTAATAGGGACTCCCCTCCACCACCACCACTGTGCAGCATCCACCTGGATGATGCGACGGCAGCCATAGTGCACCAGAACGCTCACCACACATCAGCAGGGAGGAGAGTAATGTAGCCAATTCAGAGATGGGGATTATTAGGAGGCCATGATTGGTAAGGGCCAATGGGAAATTTGGCCAGGACACCGGGGTTACACCCCTACTCTTTTCGAGAAGTGCCCTGGGATTTTTAATAACCACAGAGAGTCAGGAACTCGGTTTTACGTCTCATCCGAAGGACGGCGCCTGTTTACAGTATAGTGTCCCCGTCACTATACTGGGGCATTAGGACCCACACATGGACTGCGGGGGTGAGCGCCCCCTGCTGGCCCCACTAACACCTCTTCCAGCAGCAACCTTAGTTTTTCCCAGGAGGTCTCCCATCCAGGTACTGACCAGGCTCACACCTGCTTAGCTTCAATGGGTTGCCAGTTGCGAGTCGCAGGGTGATATGGCTGCATACGCTCTGTCACACTCTCCCACATATGTCCCATTTTGCCAAGCTCTTTATTCCAAGCCTGACTTGGACAAGAAAGCTGTCAGCTTCTAACAATGCAGAGACACGGACATCTCCAAGCATGAACGTCAAAAGTGCAACACCGTGTGATACAGGTGAGCCGTTTTGCTTGAAGATGTACAAACTCACTCACGGCTGGGATGGATCTCTCTGAGCTGTGCCATGCAGGCTGAGAGACCATCGCTGGGCTGCAGGGCCTGCTGGGAATGGAGCACTCCTGGGTGTCATGGGGATCCTGGACGGGCTCATACAGGCTGTCCATAGAGCCCTCCTGCAAGCACACCAAGGGAAAAGACACCGATCAGTGCAAGGGCAACACAGTTCAAGTAGGGAAAAAGCCTGGAAGTCCATCTTATATACAGTGCATTCAAATTGAAAGTGGAAGACTTTAATTTCAAATTTCCATTATAGCAAATCCATCAGCAAAACTCTTTTTGCACAATGAAAAACCAAAGCAAATCGAATCCTTCCCACTGCTCTAGTCACTAACCCGCGACAGTCATCCTGCTTACTGACCAGGGCTGCATTGGTTTGTCATACAAGGGAGAAACCATTAAAAGATTAGTATTTTCAAAGAATGCATTGACTCAAGTTGAACACTATACTGTAACTTTTACAGTTTTTGTCCACATTTTGTACTAAAGTTTTTATAGTAATTTCACAGTAATTGCCAAAAGGATACAAAAGCAATCTCTGCCAATGAATTAATTAATACTTTTAAGAATTACTTCTAGCAGTCAAATCCTGGTGTTGGATGTGTCCCAATGGCATTACACTAGACGTGTAAGTGAATTTACTGTGTGTCCAAAGGCAAGGCTTCTTATTCCAGGAACAGGCAACAATGATGCACAGACGTGTGAACGGTCACATTACATCCAGGTATGAGTATCACTGAGAGCTTGACAGAAAAATACATCTGTGTCACTAATATCCACAAAAAAGCTATTTAAATCCGAAATGTACTTGACTGAACAATTTGTCTTTGTCTGTAGGTGAAGTCATTCACCCACAAGGCATTTTAAAGGTTTTAAGTTGATAACATGATGGAAGTACATGTGAAATGTAAAGATGACTATTAACTTGATTAAACAGTGTGGGGTTTATGAACCCAACACTGATATGGGTTGAAGTCATTTGTTAAATATTATACTGCAATCAAAGGTGATTCATGATCTGTGGGCAGGGACAGGGACTGAACATCAGCCCCTCTTTTCAGTAAGGAGTTGTGTCTTTGTTTCAGATATGTCTATAACCCTGTGGGTTTGAGGTCCAGGATCTTATATAAGGAATGCCTGGCTGTGTTCGTAAGTAATCCTCTACCGTGTAAAGCAAAACATTTCCAGCATCTCTTTATATATTCCCTGGAATTACTAAAAAAATACCAGTAAATTATTTTAAATCACAACAAACCCATAATCCTAACGTTCCATGGAACTACAGCATAGTTTCTAAAATTAGTCAACTTTTCATAACGCTACTACACAGCCTAACATATTTCAGTGAGAATAAACAAAGAACACTACATCAAGTTAAACAATACAGTTAGCAATATAAAGCAAGCCAATGAATATGCAGAACATTACATTTTACTCTTTGGTTTTGTAGTATTCAACCCTATTTTTCAAACCATTAGAATGACGAGAATTGAACAAGAAAGCATTGCTAGAAAGTGTAGAACTAAGTATCTCTAGAAAAGTGAAACAGCAGCAAACATTTACTTTACTCTGTCAAAGGCTTCCAACCCCTTTGTCAGCAGCTTTGTTTTGCTGCAGTAAGCAGCACCTACATGAAAAACACTAACACACAAACTGCAGTTGAATAAAAACTAAAGACACTCAAGAGAACCACAAGAAAATTCCTGCTCACCAGGGAGAAGCAGAAGAGGTTCATTTTGAAGAAACTCTCCTGACGCCACACACAGCAGAACTGCGCTGGAACCCCAGACTCAGAAAGCAACCTCAGTCCTCCCTGCTGTCTGCTGGGTGCAGATTAATAGAAGACAAAATCCCCCCAGTAATCCAATAGATACAGAGGGCCGTTGCTACACAGGGCAGATTTCCACACAGTCCTTTTCTGAATCACATGTGCCATGTCTTGCAGAGAATGAAAACCAGAGAAGTTTATTCATTCACATCCAGCACACCGACTGCGAACTGGCATTCTCCCCTCTGCTGATCTTGGTGACATAGGGACTACTGCCCTTGGGAGGCTAAATCTGACTTTGGTGAAAACCGACTTTCAGACATCTTTCAGACTGTACCATATCTTTTTCTTCCAAGTCTTCGGTGTGAGTGCTTACGTTTTGAATAAAAGTTTTTAAAAGTGCTTATGCATGACTTTGTATGAGACACCAAGGCAGGGGTCTGAATTCTTTGTGCTATAAGTGCTATACGTAGCCCCGCCATGAGGTGCCTCCTCCATATAAGTAGGTGCCCCTTTCCATGGTTCCCTTGGTAACTGGGAATGTGTTTCTTTGTAATTTCACAAAATGGGACACCATCGGAGGGGTCTGAATATATTTTCAAGGCACTGTATATATGGGCAAATACTGGCTGTAAATAAAACTAAAAGTGATTTTCCAGTATTTATACTGGAAAATGTATATTAAACACATACAAGATGAGGAGGCAGAAAGCAAATGTATTCTGTCATCAAGAAGTTTTAGAAATTTGTTTTCAAACATTTTAAACAAAACCCTTGAAGTGTTTTTCATAGACCCATTGTTCAGCTGTAAAAAATAAAAAATGAAGAAATGTGTGTTCCGTATACTGAGCTAGTAAAAGTGTAACAAATGAATTTTTAAACAACAGCTTGGGAAGAGGTCAAACCCCAATCTCGCCCTTGTCCACCTGCCTACATATCAACATCCCTCCTCTTGCCCCTGGAGCAGCTGCCTGGCCCCTCCCTCTCCCCATCCTCGCCCCTCCCTCACCTTGTCCTCACCCCTCCCTCTCCCCTCCCTGGCCCCTCCCTCACCCAATCCTCACCCCTGCAGCAGCTCCCTGGCCGCTCCCTCACCCCTGCGGCAGCAACCTGGCTCCACCTCCCCTCCCTGGCCCCTCCCCCATTCCGTCCTCATCCCATCCTCGCCCCTCCCTCACCTTGTCCTCACTCCTCCCTCTCTCCTCCCTGGCCCCTACCTCATTCCATCCTCACCCCTCCCTCACTCCATCTTCTCTCCTCCCTCTTCCCTGCAGCAGCTGGCTGGCTCCTCTCCCCTCCCTGGCCCCTCCCCCACCACGTCCTCACCCTCCCTGGCCCCTCCCTCACCACTGCAGCAGCTGCCTGGCTCCTCTCCCCCCGCTGGGGTGGGGGTGCTGCGTGCGCTGATCTCCTCAGCCAGGTGAGGGGCTCCAGTCCAGCTCACTGCTCAACTCAGCCTCACCTTCACAGTCATCAGGGTTTGACCAAACTCCTGAACTGAGTATTGGAACCATGTTTTTGCAAGTCAGTATCAGTCCACATCAGACCACATAAAACATTGACATCTCCTTATTTACGGACTAAATCTTCATTTAACTTTTTTCAATGGCAGTGGCTGTTTTGTGCGCATCACCATGCCCCACCATGTCTGTCACCTCACATCCATGAAGTGAAAAAAGCAGGATGCACTGGGGTCGGAATGGAGCAGCTGAGCTCAGGCTCAGCCCTTTCGGACTCCATGCTGACACTTCTTGCTAGAAACTCACAGTTGTAGTGTTCAAGCACATCATGTCACTTAAGGGTTTCTGAAAATCTCAGAAATGTCTGGTCACCAAGGCTCAGAAGGTATCACAGCGTTTCATACAGACTTCATCAGGAAAGTATTCATGTACTAATCCTTGTTTTGAAGGTAATCTGAATTTCATATCAATTGTGGTCGTGCATGACTTGTGACAGGAAAACAAGCCTTGATGGGAGCTCTGGAGCCTTGATTCCAATCTGCCAGAGTGTTGATGTCTCCAGGCCCCAGGAATTTCCAATCACTGTGCTCTTCTTCAGGAAGCCTAGAGTCTCATATCTGTGTTGTTATCATATGACCCTGATCGCACAGTGTACAGACACCTCCAGCACTGCACACGTCTGAGGAAGCTGTTCCACTGCCCCAGTGAGCAATGCGAATTCTGTTGACTTGGGGGAAATAAAAGTTTTTTGTTCCTTTGTACTTTGCTTGTTTCTCTGCTCAGAAAATGAGCACATTCTACACTTGTTTCAGATGAGAGTGCTGTTCTGCGGGGGTTTTTGAGATAACTAGATACCCTGATAATAATTATAACAAAACATTTGAATAGAACTCAGTGAGAATTATTTAAAAAATGTATAATAACAAATTATATTTATGTGAAAGATGGATAGATGGATTTGGTACATTCCAGGTGTGATATGACTTACTGAATGCGAATGACGTTGTGTCAGATGCTGACATTTTCCTACGTTAACCAGTCTGGATGCAAAGCTTATTTTTAGCTTCTGGTAATCCCAAATCTCTTTAATATATTTCACCATAATCACAAACAGAAAACAGAAAATATATGCGAGCAGATTAATACATATCTGACCCACATTCCCACATTCGATTAAGATGATGAATTATGCTTGGAGGTTATAAAACAATGTGAAAATGCATTTGAACATTTTGTGTAGGAAAGCTTCCTCAGAGTCCTAAATGTATGTACAGTATCTTGGAGGGCGCAGGGCAGGACCACAGCCAATCTGTCCAGGCCAGAAACACTGGAAGAACAAGTAAACTCTTCACAGAAGGTGCCACAGACTGGAATCAAATTCAGGATCCAAGAACTGTGAGGCAGAAGCTCTACATTGCAGTCACCATGACACCCAAGATGGAGCTCATGCGAAAGATCAATACTAATATCAACACTAATAACCATCCACTTCTGACAAAGAAAAACGAGGCAGTATTTGCATTCAGTTATGTCTAATGACGTGCCTCCATGTATTATGAACAAAATGAATTCCACAGTTAAAAATAGAGCCAAGTTGATTTTAAAACTGACAGTAAATGTTCTGTATTACATCATGACAATTTTCACAGAAACTTACATGATGTGACTTCACCAGCTCTGATAATTAAGCTGACTATTTTGTGTTGTAAAAAAAGCACTATTCGATCATGGTATTATTGTCTTTGCCTTGGCAACGGATCAGAATGACACCCTGGAGTTTCATTGGAGTATAAAGCTTCTAACTACTGTCTGATGCCTATAGCAGTTCAGTGCAAACTGAGGGGATTGGAGCTTGTGGGCAGTGGGGGATTGCATCTCTTGTGGTGAAACATTAGAAAAGAAACATTGCGTTTCATGGACTGAAAAGAATTAACCAGAAGAGATGTGAGGGATTTCATTATCTACTGACCTTAACATGATTCTTTGTTTACAGAAAGAACAAAAAGAAAATGAACATAACTCTGAGGTAATTCCACTGACCTTAAACTCAACAGAAATCATCTTTAGCCAAACGCTTTGCATGGTTTTAGTGTACTCTTTTCCGTGGTTTGTTATGGTCCTGTTGCTTTACTACAGATCTGGAGTGTTAATACTTATTTAGGCCACTAGAGGGCGACATATGGACACTGCAGAGACGGAGATCGAGCTAAATCAGGTTTCACATTTCTCAGGTTATTAGAGTCATGGGCTTCAGTTGTCTACAAGCTGATTTCTCTATAAAAAGCTTTCACCTCTACAGAAGTTGTCTTTCCTGGTTTTGGGATAAACTGGTAAAGTCTTGCAGAGTTGATCATATTGGCAGTTAAAGGCTCAGATTTGCAAAATGAAAATGAAAAAATATTAAAAAGAAGAGGAAGAAGACAACACTGTCATTTGCTGTGTCAGGGGTGCAAGTATTGCTTGTTTCAAAAGTGTTCTTGATCAAACAGTCTCAGCGGGTAGAAGAGGAGAGAGGAACAGGACAGAGTTACAGTTTACAAGGGGGGCTGGAAAGGTCAGTAGATTAAAGGAACAGCCTAAGGTTGGGAAAGTTGGAAAAACAATTAACAAGTTTGGTCCAGCCTCAGCCCCAGTTCCACACTTTCCTGTAGTAACCTGGGGGTGTGGACGGTAGGTCCACACCACACTGCCAGATAAGGGGGACCTGTTGCAGGATATCCACCTGAACTGAAGAAAACAACTCTTCATAAACATCTTTTTGCATGTTGTTCTCCAAGTCCACAATTGAAAGACACATTAAAAACACAACTATGGTAAAAGTTCCATCAGAAATTTGCCACGGTCAGCTGGAGCTTCTCCATTCAATGTTTTGGTCTAGTCATGGCAGTTAGGGTTAGAGTTGGGTCTGCCACTGGTCTCAGAGAGACACACCTAGAGGCCAGCAGCAATGCTGTCCTTGATGAGTGCAGGTGTCCTGAGCAGGAGATTTGTGTCATTACTGGCAGGACTGTTATAGACAACAAGCCTGTTCCGTTTCAGTTCTAGTTTTCTTCTTCTTTTCGAGAAAGAGCCATTCTCCATTTAGGTAGTTTTTTAAACTGACACCCAAATAAAGCTCTCTTATCCTGGGGACACGGTTTTGCAGTCTAAGAACCATGAAAACAAATAAAGGATTTCATTATTGACCCATATCTTAACCGCAGCTGCTGTGAAGGCTGCAGTTCATTCGCATCACATGCTGGCTTTGATGATCCAAATTCTTCTGGTCCAAGTAGAACATAAAGCACAGTTCATCCCAAATAATTTTTTTGATTCTTTCCCATCCTCGGAACTGTGTGTAATTTTCATCATGAAACTGAGTCCTAATTGCACCAAAGCTTTTAAGCATGAAAATGATACCAAGAAGATAGGTTTAAGCCAGCGGTAATCTTTCTCTCCAAATTATATTTGAACAGATGACATCCATCATGAAGCATTTCAAGAGTAAGAATCTATTAAATCTAGTCACCAAATATAACTAGGAAACTGCAAGAATTTTGAAGACCTCAAAAGAAATCCTATCGCAACAAAATTCTACAGTTAAGCAATGTGACAGTAACCCATTTTGAATGGAAGCAGTTTCCATTGTGTGGAGTTCTCCCTTTGTTCACACAGTTTTCCTCTGGGTTCTCTGGTTTCTAAAAACAATCTGGTAAATGAATTGGCTTCTGGCAGAACTGGGTGTGTGTGTGCCCTGCCCTTCAAAAATGACCAGTTTGAGTTGTGAGAAAACAATGCCTTACGGTTCTTGAAGGCTCTGTGTCCCTGGATTAACTAGAACAGGTAGGTTTCCAAAGAATGATGTGAGGGAAAACCTGAATATTTTCAGGTTTTTGTAAAGCACACAATCACTTTTTTATGGCATGTTTTATGAATGTGTTAGACCAGTGGTTCTCAAACGTTTTGGACCACCTACCACCTACAAGTCCTCTTCTCATAGGAACCACAGAAAATCTCAATGACCAACACAAGCATGCACACACACATATATAATAAATATAATGATAATAAACTATTTTATATTGCACCTTTAAAGGCAGCTTCTCAAAGTGCTTTACAGAATGACAAGAGGAACAACCACAATTAAAAATAAACAATAAAAAAGCACTTACCAATTCAGTGAGAGGGATAAGCCTGTTTAGTTGAGCAATGCTGATGGGAATTCATTGGTCGAGCCTTGATACAATTCACAACTTTGACAACATAGTCTAACAAATTTTAAATCCTCAGGCATTTTCTTGACGGCCAGGGCCTCGCGGTGGAAGCTGCAGTGCGTCCACTTAATTTCTGGAGCAACCTCTCTAATTCGTGCAACTACACCTCTGTGTCGTCTTATCATCGCTCGTCTGTATAAACTCCGACGCACTTTATCCAGTCGATGCCATTCTCTTCAGAAGCTGAAATATGTGCTCTCCTGTAGTTCTTGTTGGTAGCGGCTTACAGAACAGAAAGTCCTCATGGGACGTACCCTCAAATTCGTATCTAACGTAAACGAGCAAATTAGCCAAATCAACGACATCTACAGACTCATCTAATTGCAGTGAAAAGCACCTGCTCATCTTAACGTGCTCTATCGGCGTACTTTTGACATCATCTGCCATGCCAATAATTCTACGAGTGACTGCTGTCAAACGGGCAGCAGGTCGAGGTGTTTTGCAGCTTGTTCTCCACACACAATACGTGTCAGCTCTTTTGCAAAAGGTAAACAAAGTTCTTCGCAAATAGTGTGGGGTTTACCTGCTTTAGTAATCCGCATGCTTGCATTTTCCCCGTTTCCGTTTCAGGAGTACGTCTCAGAAGTTAAAAGAAGTTAAAAGAAGTTCATGCGCATGGGATTAAAACACAGAGACACTCACTGTACTTTTCTCAAATTAACCTAGAACAGTCCTAAAATATTTTTCTGTTATCTATCACGCTTTCCTGTGCTCACAAGATTGCCAGTGATCCAAAACCATGCAGATTCTATTACCTCCCCATTTGCTGAAGGTAACGTTTTTTTAAAATACAAGTATTAGCTCGCTGCATTAGAACAGTATGTAGGCTGCGTATTTGACACAATTTTATTAAATAGAAAATATGAAAAGCCGCCCCAATTTTTCAGTGCACGCAACACATTTCCAGGGTCATCTGCCGTACCACCTGGGGACAGTTTGAGAACCACGGTGTTAGGAAAGAAAAGGCTAAATTGCAAGAAAAAAAATGTATTGGAACAACATATATCCACACACTCCTCGGAAGGATCACAGCAGTTCAGGTCTTTCTGGAACTACATCCACAAATGTTTACACCCTGCATCCTAGACAAGACACCATACCTCTACAAAAGCATGCTGCAGAACAGAAAAAAACAACCAAATTGCTATTGATAAATCTGCACTAATAATGATTTATTTATTAAGTTTATTGTTGTGATTTTACAAGAAAGAAAGTTGAAATATATGTGCACATAGAAGCATTTTTTGCCAAACAATACACATCTCAGGACAGTTTCATCTGAAACTGAAGCTCCTGGATGTAACCTACAGTGTGTGCGAAGAATTGGAAAGAGCTGTCGTGGCAACCAAGAGAGGTAGCACAATGGTTACATGTTAGATGATGGAAAATCATCGCTAAAGAAAGATGTAGCAGTAAATAAACCACACTTCTTGATTTTTCCTACGTTTTTAGGTGACATCGGGCATTTTTAGTAAGTAAAACTTGTCTTTCATACAAAGAGAGAAGATAAGAATGTGAAGAATATGTACTTGCATTAAAATTCTCAAAATTTGGAAATGCCATGCAATTTCAATTATATTCTGAAACTGGTAAAACATTTTAGAATGCCTGTAACAAAACAGAATAAGAAAGACTTCAGTATGTTGAAACATAATTTAAATACATCTTGTCTAAATTCACAGACACAAACACTGAAGGGGTGGTTACTGTGGATCAACTAGATACAATCATCTTTTATTTTGTTATTTGACTAATACAGAGAGGAAAATATCTGATGAATTAATGGGCATTTATTTACTTGATTTTTTCAAACATCTTGACAATTTTTCTAGTGCTAGATACATGCAGAAGACAGAGTTAATCTGTGCTCCAAGAAGTCCCAGAGAGAAGAGGAGACTGCAGAGATGCTGTCTTCACAGGGGACACAGGTCTTCAGTACAGCAGGTCACCGTGACTGAGGGAACACAGATTTCCTCACAGCTCCTAGAGAATGCAGTAGCTGAAACAGAAAAGAGTTAATTATGGTTAGCTAATGTTCTAATGAATCTCTGTAACCTAAAAAAGGCAAAATAGTTTAAAACAGTTTGGTAAGGGACAATACACCAAAACATTAGTTGTCAGTTGCTGTATGTGCTAACACAGATGTTATTTCAGGTTTTTGTACAGCACTTTTCAAATTTGTACTGTATATAGTGGAAGCATTTTTAGTTCACTGCTATCACTTCCATTATTGCTCACAAACATGGCCCTGGCACTGTTGTTAAACTACAGGGCTGGTTCTCTTGATACAAGGATGTTACAGCTCTGTCAAGGCTTTAAAGCAGAGACCATAAAACTGTAGATTTAATTCCACTTCACTATAGTAAAAAGTACCACAGAAGGGTTTAGAAAACAAAGCATGTTTTGAGTACTTGGACCACAGAATTTCTTTACACAATAGCATTCTGTCAGAAAACCAGAAAGGTAATTAGATTGAAAGATGGTATTTTAGTACACAGTCTGGAATATGCAGGATTTTGCCTGATTCAGAGTGATGTGGCATCATCTGTGATGAAAGTTGTATATACAGTATACTGTACTTATTCATCGTTGGAATCTACTCTCAAAATAGAACGATATTTTCAGTAATACCCAGCCTTAAAGGAGTTATTTGAAAAAAAGAAGCAAACCTAAAAGAAGAATGAACAATATATTTCAAGTACATTAACATAGTCAGCATCCTCACCTGTGGCCTCAGTCCTACAGAACTGACTTGAGGGTGGACATTCGGTCTCTGTTTTGCATTTTGGATCATTCTCACAGGTGTAGCACTTGAGAGATTGAACTGTAGGGTAAAAAATGGGCCAAATTTTTATTGTCAGGATTCAGCGCATAAGCAGAATTATTCAATTCAAGTACTTACATATTATATGCTTTTTTATAATCCACCTTACATGCATTGAAATGTGTGCTGCTCCACTGCACAGTATACTGAGAGTTCAGTGAAAACAAAAGATGACACCAGCACCTGCAGCGCATCAGTCCCTCTGGAGCTCTCATTTAGCATGCTATCCTTCAGATTCTGGTTTTGGAGTTGGCCTTTGGTCTTCAAGTAATCTTATTATTGCACAGGCTGCAAGAGCAGTTGTGAATCAAGAAACTGTATTTTGGTCTTTTGGCATCTGAAGGATTTATTCCTTTGATTCTTCCAGCTCCTGAGGCTGTGACACGTGCACTTACTCGTACGGAAATTTCACCGAACTGGAAACATTCCTGCTGAATTAATAATATCACGGTATCGAACTATTCTTCACTAAAGACCTGCAGTCATCACAACATCTTAATTAATCCTTGAAAAATGACTAATTGTAATTTATAATGAGGGTAAACAAATACCTCAACACAAATGATTTGAAATCTAAGGAAGACATAAGAAGGCATTGCAATCCGTTATGCAAGTAACTTGGAACTGCAATGAAAACCTTTTTCCTGAAACTTGTTCAGGTTTGACTGGGCTTTAGTACAGAATGCTTTCCTGTACAGATACAGACGTGCACCGGTAGAGTGGGTACTCCACAGCAGACTTTGAATAGAAAAACACGGGTCGTTTTTCTGGGGCTTCATGGAGCATTTTCTCTCAAACTCCCTGCTCCACAGCGTGCAAGGCCAGAAATGTGGCACCATTTCATGTTGAATGGTAAAGTATTGTGCTATTTTGTCTTTTGGAATAAAAGTCAGATGAGAAAAGCAGTAGAAGAGTCCTGACCTTGCGAGCTGCAGAGCAGCAGAAGCAGCGCGGCGCACAGGAGCATCCTCATGGTTCCGCTGGCTGTGGAGAGACGGCGCCTGACTGAGGGGGCAAGCGAGAGGAGCACCTTTTTAACTGTCACGCCTCCCACGTGACTCTGAGCCCTGTGCTCATCGGGTTTCAGCTGCGTGACATTACACACACCGGCACAGAGACAAAAATACAGAGAAATAAATACATTTTATAAGGCTACAGAAATTCAGGATTAAATCACTGTCAAGGTTTGTTTTGGCTTGTAATGAGTTGCAGAACTGGTTGGGCAAGACAAGCATACTTGAGTTTTTCTCAGGTTAACCTTATGCACCTCCAGACTGGAACAGAATGAGTCTCCTGGTCAAGATCCCTTCTTTCTGAGACACTGGTGTCACTGTGATGGGCTCTGCCTGCTGACCAAGCATCTTTGCTTCAGCCTTCATTTCTCCATAAAACCTGTTTTTTTTTTTGTTTTGAGCTTCATAAGATTAACAAATCCATCTGCAAATCAAACATGAGGCTTTCAACTAAAAAAGAACATCTACTGTAAATGTTTTTTTTATTTGTAGGACTGACGCCATTGAAATGCTGCATCGGAAACCCTGAGCTGTAAAAACTCAAATATGCAGTGTAAATAACAGAGGCCTCTTCCGTAAACCACTGATACAAGGAGAGCTCTGTGGTGGAACTAAAACCTTTTCAATCAGCCTTTGTTTCTTTACTGTAAATATTTTTATTTTGAATACAAAGAATAAGTTATTCATAATATGGCTGGAATGCTACTTTGCTTGTCCTGGGCTGGATTTGGACTTGAGTGTCTCTGCGTGGGACCCCAGGTGCTTTGAGTCTCTCCCACATTAACAGAGTCAATTGCTGTCAGTTGTCCCTGCGTGCCTGTGTGTCCTGTAATGGATGATGTCCTGTCCTTTGCCTCTGGGACAGTTCTGGATTGCAGCAGCCCTCTCCTATGACTTTCTGATAATGGCTGGAATGCTCTGGCGGTCAATCTAGGTGTGCAAAGCAAGGCGTGTTGATAAACGGCATGCACACGGGCAGGTTACTGTAAAGGGTATGGCTCTTATTTAAAATCACCCCTTTGCATCCCAGGAATGATGCTTTTTCTTTCTAAATGACTCACACCAGGCATTAGAAAAGGGAAACGAGTAATGCATCTGTTAGCAGACATCTTTGAAGATCATCACAGTTTTTCAGATCTGCATGGTTATTTATCCTGATTGAATCACTGAGAACACACGCAAGGGCTACAGTATTCACGATACTGCATTTACTGAAGCGTTGTGGAGTGCTTTGGGTTCTGGGATTCTGAGAGGAGGGCTGTGGATTCAGATGCCCAGTGGTAGCTCTTCTGCTGTGCCCTTAGCCAAGCTGCTGGGGAATCCTGTGTTGTACTGCCTGTCCAGGAGCTGCCTACTCCCAGTCCATTTAATACACTAAAAATAAAACCCAGCCTGAGGATCTTTAGTACATTGTGAATTACTTACATTTTATGCTTTTTGTAACGGTTCTTGTATTTCCACTGTTGCCGATCCTGCCAGTTCGTCCCTCACTACCTGGGCGCAAACCCTGGTCTCCAGTGTCACGCAACAGGGAACTTGCCAACTGAGCTAAAGGAGACCACCCCCAGCCTGGGCGGCTGAGATCCCTGTTTTAAGCAGAGGCATATTCGTTACACTTTGCCATTTCATTGTCATATTAAAAACCTACCACATTCATGGTTTTTATTTTTCAATTAATTTTTTGTTACTGCTGCTAAAGTGCTTTGTACAAATTCTCTATGCAATAATTGTTGTTGCTATTAACCTCTGATACACAGAAATACCGGTCTGACAGGCTACTTTAATTTCACCCAGTCTCTATTGTTCATTGTTCATTCACACACTTCCTTCTCGTAAGTAAGCAGAGAGCACCTTAAAGCAGGGGTTCTCAGTCCTGGTCCTGGGTAGCCCCACACCTGCTGGGCTCCACCTGAACACTTAAATACTTGGACGCTCAATAGACCGAATTATAAGGTTAACTGCAACTCTGCAATTGTTTTCATTTTCTAAACATGTTGGAGGTTGCCTATTAACTATTACATTTCTTAAAGTAGCTTAGAAGTTCCAACCTTACAGTGGGAAACAAACAAACAAACAAACAAACAAACAAACAAACAAACAAACAAACAAACAAACAACATGTTAGTTCAGTTAAGGATTCAGTTAAGTAAAAGGCTCAGCAGCCATGAAAACTAGTGTGTGTGGGGAACCTCTGCCTTCAATCTTGGTGTCAGGAACCTTCCAGTCCACAGGCCCTGTTCTGGAGCTGACATTCGCTCTTGACACAGTAGACAGTATCCACACAGGGACAGTTCTGTGTTTTTTCATGAGTGTTACATGTTTGGCAGACACAAGCAGACCAGCCGAGGAGTGGTTCTGAGGCCCTTCCCTCCCACCTGACTGCTCTCCTTAAGCGCCGGCAGACAGATTCCTCACCCCTGAGACCACCTGCTTGAAATGCGTTGAGATTTTACATCCACTACAGAAAGAATGCTGTTGACGTGAGGACATTACTTTCAGTTCTGGCACCTCTTCTAGAATGCAGCAGAGCAAGTTTTTTCCTATTTCAATTTGAACACAATTGAACTTACACCATGGTCAGTCATGGGGGGGGTAACTGCAAACAAAATGCTGTGGTTGTAGTTAGAAATGTTACTCTGTTCTATTACATTACTCTGTTCCTTGTATACCAACAGCTGCACCTCAAGCGACATTTTGTGGGTGGAATCAGTCCTTAAGGTCTTATCTCTAATGATAATGTGTGCTAACAACCACCTGGAGCTCAATAATCTTAAAACAGTGGAAATGGTGGTTGATTTTCAGAAACACTCTCCAAAACCCCTCTCCCTGGTAATCAATGATATGGCTGTGAGTATGGTGGTGTCCTTTAGGTTTTTGGGAATTCTGATCTCTAATCTCCTTAAAATGGCACATGAATATCACAAGTATCACAAAGAAAACACAGCAGGAAAGATATTTTTGGCACCAATACTATGAAACACTATGGTGCCTATCAACGAATTCTGATACACCACAGTAAATTCCTTGGACATGTTACGTACTTGGGGAATAGTGGTGATCTTGATTTTGATGAAACCCTGAAAAAGGAAAGCTTATCTGAGTACCCTGCCGATAAAGTCATTGAAACACCTTTGCTTTACAGGTACAGGCACACCTTCAGACTTTCAGATGTCTGCAGAGGGTGTAAAGTTTACTGTTTAAAAAGCAGAGTCTGATACAATAAGGAATGGAATTGCAAATAAAGAAACACACTTGTTGGAAGACAAATATTCACAATCAATGCAGCCAATCAGATGTCTGGACAGGTACAAGGGAAGGGAGGGCATCAGTAACAAAGCAGATTGTTAACTATCCAGTCTACATCTTATCTAAGACAAAAGATTTCTGGTGTCCCTCCCTGCTCCTTCTCTTCTTCTCTGTTCCCCAGGGAGGTCATCCTGCTGGAGAGAATCACCAAGCTTAAATACACATGCACACTACCAAAAGCAAGACGAGAAACAGACACATCCTGAGAACCAAAGAAATATGGGAAACTACTTTACATGCAGTGTGGGTCAGATAGATACAGAAGAATGTGCATTTTACCTGTGACACAGGTAACCTTATCCTGTGGTTCTGTTTGGCTCATTATGTTCTGCTTACATTTTGAGGTAAGAAATCCTCTAAAACAAAAACAAAGGATTGCATTCATATCTTTCCTTTGTAATAAAGGCTGTATATGTGCAGTGTCAGTGTTACTGTATCCATCCTGCCCACTGTGTTAACCCCGAGAGCCACTGGACAGAGAAGGCACTGCTTATGCAGGAGGTTCAAAAGCTGGACGCTGTGCAAACTGGTTCCCCAGAAGGGGGAGGACCAACCACAGACACATAATACAAATACAGTATGACTGGCCTTCAGTGAGCTTAGGTATGTGCAGTGAGCACTGAGCAAACCTGAGCACTTTTCCTTTATCATCTGATACAGCTAATTAATGTCATTTCTTCATTCTTTGGCTGGGTGGTTTTTCAATAGTTGTTCATTAGGCTTGAGAATTTCTTTCACACTTTTAGGTTCCTCATTCTTCTTGTTGTTCTTTGCCTATGTTTACAGCCAGCCTCCCCTGATCTTCAGGTCAGTACCTGGAAATGTATGAATAGTGCTCCCCATTGTTTTCTGACAGGGCAGCAGGGTGTGAACTATTCCACAGTAAATTCACAAGGCTGGTCCACACAGTGGTAGAATGCTATAGATTTTCCCAGGTGTTTTGTAAAACCTTTACAGCTCCAGCTACAGGTAGATTGCAGTTAGATTCAGGATCTAAAATATTGAGACTTTGCAGGAATCCGGACAAGCCTTGATGTAAGTAAATGGGAGATGGGAACAAAGCCATTTTAAGAAGAGATCTGTAAAGAATCCTCAATCCTTACCCACCGGTGCAAGATCAGTATTATTTCATGAATCATGACGTCTGCATCACGAGCTATCTCTTGCTTTTGCATGTCCATCAGGAGGGGGCCTGCTTTATTAATCACTGCAGTGAAGCTCCATCTGGGAGACATACAGCAGCCCGTCTACACAGGAGATCAGGTGGTGAAATTGCTTCACTAATTGAAATAAGGGACAAATTTAGCATGGCCTGATTGTACAAATTTGGAGTGGAATTTAGCTAGGACTCTAGGATTAAAACCCCTATTCCTCTCAACAACCATGGGTTTAAATGCCAAGTAGTCATCTAATATAATTAGATCATGGTACAGGTGACTCCAGTCACCCTGTTGGTCCATTAATTTTGAAGTTATGATTAGAAAGGAAGAGCACCTCCAACACTACTTACAGCAGCAAACAGGTTTCCCTTACAGATCTCCCATTTCAGTACTGACCAGGCCTCGCTAATCTCCTGAGATCTGACCAGATTACGCTAATATGTGGTAATATTGCCATCTCATACATGTGTTGAACATCAGGCCATGGAATTAGCTTTTTACTTATTTTACCCTTGGGACTTTTGTTATATGTAGGTCCCACACAGAGGAAAATGTTCGCAGTTAGTTCCTATAACCCAGGACATGCTTAGTTGTAGGACCAGGTGTGCAGGTAGGTAGGAATGATGTACAGGTCTGTCTAATGACAAATACTAACTTTGGTTAAAGGTGATAACCAGCAGTGCCACACTGTTGTTTGCCCTTAAAGCAGCATTTGGGGATTAAATTTTCTGTGTGTGTCTGAGATTTTTGCCCAGCTCTAGAACACCATGATGAAGACTAGGGCTCCGCTGGCTCGACAGCTGTAGAGGCATTAAAATGGTCAGTTTATGAGAAATCAGAGACTAACATGCTCTGATACTAATTTCTGGAACAGCAGAGCCCTCTAGAGGACTTGCAGGGGATACTCATATTTGCTCAACAACTCTTTGAAGGAAAAACAGGTAAAATAACATCACTTTATACAATACCCTGTCTTGCATTAGGAATTTGTCTTTTCACATACTCCAGCTTGCTCTCCACAAGGTACACAGACAGGGAGAGAAGCTTGGGGTCAGAGCACAGGGTCAGCATTGTACAGCAACCCTGGAGCAATTGGGGTTAAGGGCCTTTCTCAAGGGCCCAAGGGAGTAGGATTCCTCTGGCGGTTGCAGGATTTGAACCGGCAACCTTCCAGTCACAGGCGCAGATCCTGAGCCACCGCTAGCGCACCATTAATTAATAGTGCTTTTATATAAACACAATAAAGCACATCCCAGTTTCCAGCTTGCTCATCTTATAAGATTAAAAAAACACAAAATGGAACATTTTTATATTCTTTGTACTGAGACACATGACCTTGTGTGCATTTAATGATCCTATGATTAATACCTCTAAATCTTGTCTTTTAAGCCAGCCTTATTGAAAGCATTTGTTTGGAGTCATGAGCCAATCAAGATGTGTGGAATCCCTTTGTGGAAGACTGGCAATAAGCATTTTTCTGTAGCCCTCAGCAAGAACTAATGAATATATTCCCTTTCTGGCCTGAGGGTGACAGTGTTGTGTCAAAATTAAATGTTTGAGAACTCACAGCACACTCCTAATAAATCAAATCAGGTCATTTAAAACTCACTGTATATGCAAACCCAGAATAGTTTATAATTTAATTTATTATTGACTACAAATTGTAAAAGCCCAGTATTGTGCGTCTCATAACAGGTACATAGTGAAACAAAATTGCATTTACTATGTCCAGGGTAACTTATATCCAGTGCAAGCTATATTCTATTTCCTTAAGTCTTATTTTTTGCAATTACAGATCTGGTAAGTACTTATTTCTATTGAGTTACAGTAAATTTGGAAGACCATAAATCATAATGCTGTTCATCTCCCGCTGTACTATAGAAAACACCCACATGGGTTGGTTTTTAGACAGTTCACTTTATTTTTAACCTAAATGTTAGACAAAACAAACTGAAATGGGGAAATACAGCTGGA